ATTCAAAGATATTATAAATAAAAAGTGTTGTCGATTGCATGCTATATTATTAAACTGAAGTTCTTCTGTTTTACTCTAACTTTTAGATCTTTAGAGTCGTTTTGTCTAAGTCTTTACTTCTAAAAAGAAAAAAACACTTGATACTATAGTTTCTACCTTATATTAGGAAAGGTGTAATAAGTAAATAACGTTTGAAAAAAACTGCTACATTTGAGAGTTTTGTGAGGTATTGCAACGAACTAACTTAATTATTTCCTAAAATGGCAAATACGAGTACTGATTAGTGTCAGCACATTGTTTCTTCATTTTTTCAACTAAACCTTTGAAATTTGTTCCGAAATCAATCAGAGACGATCGGTAAGGCACAATGTTGACAAACATTCCAATGATATTTTGGAATTTTGAGTTAGGACGATTTGCTTGAAGACCGCCAATCCAAAGAGTGTTTTCGCGTGCTATTTTGTGCAGGAACAAACTATAACATGTTAACAGTAATTGAAACACAGACGTATTACTTTGGGAAATTCGATGATATTCTCTGTTAACATTTCGTTAAGCTGAAAGAGTAAATTAACGCCGGTCACAGAACGGTTTTTGCCTAATTTTTCCGGATAGTCGTACGGTAATGGTATCAATTTTGTAGTATCCAACTGTCTCACCATGTTATGCCAGTATTTTCTTGCTTCGTTTATTGTCAAATCCAACGAATGATCGTTTAGCGTTTGCTTCTCTTTGATCGCATAATGAAGATAGCTCACGATGTCCGTTGTGTGTTCTAGCATACCCATATAAGCATCTTGTAAATCGTTAAAAAATGGTTTTATCGAACGCCCATCCACAGCAATATGATGAAAATTAAATATAATACAGTCTCCAGTGTCCAATATATCGTCATTTTTGTTATTGTGTTTCACAATATGACATTTCAGCACAATACCCGTTTCTATATTAAAATGGTTACCGTTAGTTTCGAACTCAAGTATTTGATCAAATTCCTTCTTTGTCGACACCCGTGTAACCTGAAATGAATAGTAATCATCATGATTACTATCGTCTACACTTGACATGTACTTTACTAACTGCTTTAAGCACTGCTTTAAGCAGAAATATTCTGGTTTGTAATTTCGCACAACACAGGAATATTGTAAACTGACGATGGAATCTGACGAACATACATATCTAGCCAAATTCTTTCTTGAGCACGTACTATTATCTTACTACACTGATACATTTATGAATCAAATCTGTCGGCACAGCAGACCTCCTACGTACTACGTATTATTTGCATATCTGGACTGACAAAGCAGCGCCGGTAGACGTATTATTCCAGTTTTGTGAATTGTTATGTTGGTGACCGCCATTTAAATGTTTTTCTTGATGTGGACGCTCTGAGATAACTTTCAATGAAGTATACGAACCGGTTAAATTCATAGAATTCAATGATTTGTTAAAAATGTCTTTGTTTTACTGTAATAAAATCTAAAATATTCATGTTAGTACTCGTTTGGTACCCAAAATCACGTGCTTTTTCTAAGTAAATTATTTTAGGAAAACTCTGCTTAATGGCGCTAGCGTGTTAAGCTAGTCTGCCCTTTAATAGGCCTGTACAACAAACGTAAATGTTAACACTTTGGTCAAAAGCTGCGCCAGAACAGAAAAGGGCGATACATAAAGGACGCACGCCGTCATTTTTCTTTCCCTTCTGTGTATATTCTGTGCGCTGAAGAACACTCCTGACATACATGCACCTAGGAATCATTTTTCCTTCGCTTTCTTTTTTCTTAAACACGAAAAATGAATAGTAATTAATGCATGAAATTTGCTGTTGTTTTACTACATCTCTGGTTAGTTCATTTATTACTTGTTCGGAAGAAACACAGCCAGATAAACAGATACAAGTAAGAGTAAATCGATTTTTAACGTTGAAGGAAAAACGTAGAAATAAAACCAAGAGCGGTGTTGCACCAGTATTCTCCTCTGTTTCTCACCTCTCTCTATCAAAAGAAATGAAAAAGTGTTCTTCGCTTCCTCTAAAAAGAATACGTCTTTTCTCATTAAAATAATCAGCTTTTTAAGGAATACAGAACTCTCATAAAAAGGAGAGGGCTTTTCAGTTTTCCGACTCAAAGAAGAAACCGTTTGGCTCTCACATTCGCCAAAAATTCACAACACAGACTTAAACTTGAAGAGATTTTTCTCATGTCGATAAACTGCATGTATAGATTCATATACCTTCATTTCTCTTGTCAGGTGTTCCACAAGGATACGTTTTTTATTCAGATGAGAATTGAATATTTGTTTCGGTATAGCTGACAAATGTCGCAGTTCAGTTCTTTTTATTGCAGTGAGTAAAATATTATTATTTTTAAATCCTTTGCGAACAAGAATTCGACAGTGCTGTGCATGTGACCGAATGAATCTGATATTATTGTACATACAGCTGTTATGAACACTTCCAAGAAAGCCACTCTTGAAAAAGATTAATTCATGATCAATGGATACGACGTAAATAGACCCTAAACGGTGGCGCTTGTTCTTTGCACTATAAATAACGTGAATCACAGCGATTCATTAGGTCCATTGCCTGTAAGTCGAATGAATGCACTGTCCTAATTATTATTCATTCTGTTGTAACTCGATCGTGTTACTACAGATTTTATGGATAGTTTTTACGATGAGAATGTCCATATTTTCCACCTTAGGTTACAGAAGCAATTCCTATAGCTTTTCACCGTTCAGAAAAGTTTATCAGAGTGAGTACGTGTTTCGAAACCAAGTATGGTTGATTTGGTTTTATCTATAATGCAGACTTTAGACCTAATATTACCAAATCTCTCAGTCGTGTTACCGGATATCGTGTGGTAGCGGAATCTGAGTGAGGGCAATGTTTGGGCTCGTTCATGGAAAAGCGGCTGCCCGATATATCATGGATGACCCAATCATAAGGAAGAAAAGTAGCAATTTTGTTCAGTATGAGAAAGAAAGAAAGTACCGCACCTCCGTACTCTGTTCTTTCGACTTATATCTGCGAACGACCCTTTGAGTCGAATCGAATTTGAGTCAAAGACAACGCTCACACCTCCCTTCGGTCGGTGTTTGCTAGGGACTATCCACACTGTGTTATGAATATTTCTCTGATGTCAAGCTCACAATGTGGTTCTAGACCTATAGAAGTTTTCTCGAGACTCCTCAAAGGTCCTAAAATATTTATAAATTCTACACAATGCCCACGCGTCCCTTCGGTGCGCGCTTGCAGTCAGGATAGGTGTCATTCCACTTTACTGACTCCACAGAGAACCGAAGCGCATCTATCCGTGCGGCTCTATGTCCGTCACACTCACTACTCACTATATGTACGTACGTCCGTCACACTCATTAGTGTCTATATGTATGTACGTCCGTCACCGTGGGTGCTTACGTGCGTCACACCTCTGTACGGACAAACACACACACAAACACTTTATTTTTTGTGACCATAGACTTTCAGTCAATGAAATAAAAAAGTCTTTGTTGAGACCTTAATAAGAGAAAGAATGTACATCACTTTCGTTCAGGAAAATACTAGCCTAGCAGAGATGGGTAAGTCAGCTCATTTTTCCAGTCAAGCAGACATATGTTTTGATTCGGGTCTAGAATATTTTCGGAAAGAATCGACTTGAGTCAAGACTCAACTGTTAACGCCGAGTAAATGGGTTCGAATGAACAAAGGATATGTCTTCTTCTGTCTTTTGAACTTATTTTGATTTATAAGGTGAGAAAATTTTTGCTCTAAAAGTGTGAATCATTGCAAACAAGTGTGGGCTAGTTCCTTCTCGCTAAACGCAAAGTGCTGCATTTTTTTAAACTGATCCATTAAGTGACACCATTCACCCTATGAAAACAGCCGTGTTTCAAACAGAAAGAGAAGGTTATATTGAAATTAACTGCAAAGTAACGATTTTAAAATAAGCACTCGAATAGACGATATTCGAGCCATTAAAAGTAGTGGTTTCACTCGAGTTCGTTTTTATAAATTGACTTGGCTTGACTTGCGACTCGAAAAAAGAAGTAACTGGCTTAGCTCTGGCTTGGCAAATTCACGAACAAACGGTATAAACATATTTAATACAGATAATTTACGTTCAGACAATTCAACGAAACGAGGGTATATCTCAAAAAAATCGCTGAAAGTTATTCCAGTTAACGAAATGAATCTTCTAGTATTTTTGTTAGTTCATCTATAATATCGCTGATTTTCGTTCTTCCACAGACATTCGCCGGTAAAGTAAGTTGAAATACAGTTAAACGAGATAACAATGTAATTAGTCTAACTAGGAGTTTGACTTGATTAATATAGTGGACGAACTGTGCATGAGCTTGTCCATTGTCTATTAGTTCTATAAGTTGTGTTAAAGGCCTTTGGCGAAGATATTTTATTTTATACATAAAAACAAATGTTGCCACTATGCTCAGTGTAGCCGATTACCTATATTCCATGGCATTTCAAGATTCCCACAGATATCTACTCTGAGATAGACACGTGCTTGTAGAAAGCGAGCCCTGTCCGAACGATGATAGCTGGAGAGCAGGGACTTGCATAATTTTGTAAAGTAACATCCGGATTATCTACACATGCTTTGTATGTTAGTTTTCTGAGAACGGAGCTGGTTTTCTAAAGATCCTCTAGAAAATGGAACTTCCGAACCTTTTCAGAGCTGGTTTTTGCTTATGAAAAGTTGGTTTTAAGTATCTACTTTCGATTACTGGAAAGCGCAGGTCGCTATCTATCAAAATGACGGAGATATTCAAGAAATAAGCACCAGTCTTGTGTTTTGGATCCGATAGTAATAAAGCTCTACCATTTAGCTTATCATTATCTTTTTCTGATGCCGCATGCAGATATTTGTATGTCAGACATAATAAGAAAATAATAGAAAATCACTATCTTTCGCAGCTATAGTGTATGTAAACGCTTGCCTTTGCCATCATTTTTTTTCAAACTATTTGTTTTCAAATTAAAAATGACGACGTTGACAACCAACACTGTTTCAAAACGAAAACAAAGACCATATAAACGGATAACTGAGTTCGAAAACGAGATAGTTCCACGTCTGTACAATGAATTAAGAAAACCTTGTCTAGTCGTCGAAAATACATTATCTGTCGGTTATGGCGAAATGACCACATTTTATCGTTCCTTACCAAACAAAACCAGTCAAGCTCGTCGTATTAATACAACATTACAGGCGGCTGGAAAAATGTGAGAGACTGACGTTTTATTTTTTACCAGGTAAACTTAAGTTTCTTTTTTACTTTTTTAATTATAGAGCAGCACTAGCAAGAGTCAAGGACCTACTAAATTTTATGCCAGTCTACTGATCTAGTTGCTGATGAATTTTCAAATGAAACTTTAGATGAACAAACACAACAGCAACAAACACTCACACAATCATCATCTACATTTCAACCGACTCAGTCGCAACATTTGTCTGACAAAGATTGAGCTGAAGAAAGATCTGAGTAAGATTGTGCTTTAAGTATAGTGTCTGTAATGTAAGTTTGAAAGATTTTTCACTTCACAGAAAAAATTCGAAAAAAGGTTGAAGTTGAGTTTCTCTTTTTCAAAAACATGAACGCTACTTCATTTTCAAATGTGAGAAGTTTATTTGTCCTTTTCCCGTCCATTTAGACGGAAAGTAATTCAATATTGAACGATTTGCTTTCAGTTTATCCAGTAACTGATCCGTCGGACTTGTCTAATCAAAAAATAACCACAAATTCACCAGCTACAATTAATAATTCAGCCGTTCTCCTTCACCTAACAATTCTACGACAGTAGCAACAACAAATCAAACTAATTCATCTCCATCTTTTCCGATCGATCGAAAATCAAAGAGTTTTGATGATGTTATTATTACTGATCAAAATAAAGATGTAACTGCTTCTCAGCCTTTGTCATCAACAGAATATCATCATAACGCCAATGAAAAATTATCTGAATTATTAGAAAAACTATTTAGTTTACATACTGCAACCCAGGGAAAAATTCTAATGTTATTTTTCTCTGTCACAAATACTTTAACGTCATCTAAACCACTAACGAACCCACCACTCGTAAGTCTACAGAAAATTATTCAAAAATTGTTAATTCGTTTCTCATTAAAAACGTGTCAAAAAAGTGCAACAACAACAACACTTTCTGCCTCTAATCAAAGCACTATGGTTTCAAAATCATCTAAAGATAGTAGAAAACTTTATGGAAATACGGTTACAACAATCTTGACCACACAACAATCTCAACAACGACCATTGACAATGAGTGACCGTAAAAGTGAAAAAAATGACAACGGCCTTGGACGAAAATTTCAGATCGAACGTTAAACGCCGAAAATCATCACCAAGTAATAGAGTCAATGAATTACTAACAAAAATTGATAATGTGATAACTGCAGCAGAAAAATAATTCCAGAATTTGATTTAACTAAAGACTGAGTGAGTTCTTCACACTTTCTTTTTTTTTCTCGTTTTCATATATTCCTAATCAAGAGAAAGTTAGTTTTTGCTTGCCTATGAATGAACTTGTTTATATCTTACGATAGTGCAGGTCTAAAGTGTGTACATTTCACTTTCGTCCATTTTTCTATTTGATTTTGATTGTTATACTGCGCCTTTTTGCGTCTGAGCTGAGGGATGAACAATCTTTTATTTAGTTGAGCAAGGGCGAGTAATAGGCTGGAGAAAAAGTAAGAGATTTTACTGCTTTAGATATATCTATTTGAACTGTTTCTGGTCAAAGATGGGTATTTTTTTTGTGATAGCTGGTTTTTCATATGTGTTATTTCTTATGCTTGGTGCAGCAGCTGACTAAGACAGCAAAATTGTTTTGTTGTTAGTAAAGAACAGCAGATTTCATGCATTACTGTTGATTTTTCTGTTCTGGCGCAGCTGATAAAGAAAGATTGTAAATGTAAAACGTAACCGAACGTTTTTGACCAAAGTTTTAACATTTACGTTTGTTGTACAGGCCTACTGAGGTTGTTATACAAAGACTGGAAGTAAGTCCTATACAACGAATATATGTATTGCAGAAGCCAAAAGCAGAGTGACAGAAATATGAATAACGACAGAGAGATAGACTCTGCATTAAGACAGTGATCAAATATGAATGGTGAGAGCAAGAGAGCCAATAGGCGGAGGATAGACTTATATTTCCTTACATTTTCCATCACTATGAGAATGAATGCTCCTACACGAATGAAAAACTAAAAGAATGATAATGAAAAAAAAAATTGTAGTAGAAAAGAGCCTTATCCCATTATTCTAGCCATTTCAGTCCGTTTTGATATTGCTAGCATAACTGTCGTTCATTTCGATTAACTGGCAGCTTTAATGACAGTAACGGTACGAAACCGTTATTTCGAATGTCTGATCGTGATGGTGTGAGACTGAAGCTTATTGTTGGGTTGACCCTTCGGCGTGGTGATATACCTGTACCATTATAGATTTGTCCGATTGAACAACTCGACGAATCATCATTACACATTTGCACAATTTATATGCAACAAGGAAAACTATGTAGAAAAGAAGCAATGAGATAAAACGAAAAGTGGCTATAAATGCAAATGCTAGTTAGCTTGCCGTAATATAATAAATTACTATTGTCTAATGTTAGTAAAGTGTTCGAGAAACTAATCTACAAGCATTTATACTCGTTTCTATGCACAAAAAACTTTTTTAACCTAACTCAGTTTGGATTTCGTCAAGTATTTCAACCGTAGATGCGCTTCTTCTTCTCACTCAAAAGGTTTACCAGCATCTAGAAAAAAGGTGCAAATTAATTGGCATATCATTTGCTTTTGAAAAGGCGTTCGACACTGTACTACATCATATTCTACTACAAAAACTGGCTAAAGCAGCAATAGACGGAAATCTTTTGAAATGGTTCGCTTCTTATCTTTCAAATCGTACACAAAAAGTCTCTGTGGGCTCTGTTTTTTCTTCTTCTGTTCGAGTGTCGTCTGGAGTTCCTCAGAGCAGTATTCTTGGCCCGATTTTATTTCTCATATTTATAAATGATCTTGCACCATCTCTCAAATCTTCTCTTCTTTATTGTCTTTTTGCTGATGATGTCTTCTGTGTTACAAACATTTTCGAGGCTCAAAAATGTATCAATGAGCTTGTTCTCTGGTGTGATATTAATGAGGTCAAATTAAACATAAACAAATGTCTCTGGATTTTATTTTCAAACTCTAGTAAAATGCTTCCTTCGCTCACTCTTTCAATAAACAACGTTGATATAGAAAGAGTTTTGTTAAACTTCTTGGCATGATTATTTCATATAATTTAACGTGAAAGGCTCACATTGAATATGTGTCAATGAAAGTCATAAAAGTCCTCTCTCCTCTTTTGATCTGATTTCACAGTCAACAACGCGTCAAAGTTCTCGATTAGGCCATGATAGTTGCGTGTTTGTTCCTCGTTTAATGTCAAAATCTGCATCTAGCTCTTTTCTTCCGCGAACCTCAAAAGATTGGAATGAACTACCTTCTGTTTTAGCCTCTCAAACTCCTTTAGCCACATTCAAAAATATGCTGCGAGGTTACGCAGGCTTTTAATAATGTTATTTTGTTTACTTATTTGAAATTTTTAGTTTTAGGTTATCACAGGGTATCCACGGATGCCACAAGATTTTATTTCTTTTTTTTGTAATATCCTGCTCTTTAGTAAAAATAAATCTTATCTTATCATGCAACAAGGAAAACTATGTAGAAAAGAAGCAATGAGATAAAACGAAAAGTAGCTATAAATGCAAATGCTAATTAGCTTGCCGTAATATAATAAATTACTGGAATCAATGTCGCATTAATTACTTTAATCGATATATTGATTGACGTAATTAGTGTAGAAACAGATATAGAGATGAGAACGCTTCAATACAGGTTCCAAACGGGCCGCAAATAAAGATCTATTACAGAATATAATAAATTTATGAAAAGTGTCGATAGAACAGACCAGTTTTGGGCTTGATTTAAACTTTATTTATTTAAGTGAGTTCAACCGTATAAAAATACATTATAGCTCTCACTAGAAATAAAGAAAATAGAGAAAAACAAAAAAAATAAAAAGAAATAGAAAGAAAGAGAAAGAAGAAGAAAAAAAATATCGATATAAAAAATATGATAACATGATAATGATCAAAGTATCCATTTCTTGAAATTCCATTCTCTCACAGATATGGGTAAAAATGTGTTTTTTGAGATATCCTTTTTATATATTTCCTCCTACAAAACTAAGTTATTGTTTGAGCGTGTGTTAGATAAATTATAATCAAGAAAATTTCTCAATAGTAAACCAGCATGTCCATACACAATTTTATGAAACAATATCATTCTGTGAATAAAAACTGTATCATTTAAAATCGACCAGCCAAGATGTTTCAAAACATTTTCTCGTTTGGCGCCTCGTGTTGCACCGCTAACAACACATCCTGCTTTGTACTGAAAAGAAATTAATTTTTGATAATTTCTAGCTGTTAAGTGGGGAGAATAAATTACATCACCATAGCAGATAACTGTTAAGATCAGTGTTTTATATAACGTATTTAATACATGTAAGAAGAGTATATTTCTGGCAAAACGTAGCATACTCAAGATTTTATTACATTTAACAATGATGTTTTCTCTATGTGGTGACCATGAGAGATTATATGATAATATCATACCGAGGTGCTTATGTTGTGTAACTTCATCTATTGATACACCATCAACAAGTATTCTATGATTGTGGTTGATTACAAAGAAAGAGAATGTCATGGATTTACATTTCTTAATGTTTAATTTCATTTTCCATGCAATACACTATTTGTGTATATATTTAAAATCATTATTTATTATTTCACCCGCTTTAACTGGATCTTCATGCACATGGAATAGTGATACATCATCCGCAAACAACTGACTGAATGTTTTGTATACCATTCAGACAACCTATGTAATCAATATATATCAAAAACAATAACGGGGCCAACACGCCTCCTTGGGACACTCCAGAATTTATTCGCTTAAGGTTAGAAAAACAACCGTCAACCATTGTACACATAAAGCGATCTGTTAAGTAAGATTCAAACCATTTATACAATGGTCCAGAAAGGCCTCTACAATCTAACTTATATAACAATCCTTTTATTCACACTTTATCGAATGCTTTAGACATATCCAAAAAAACAGCTCGAGCCCGCTTCAGACATTCAAATCCTGTTGCTATACTATGTATTATATCAATAAGTTGAAGAATAATAGAATTCTTCTTTGTAAAACCAGTTTGAGAAGTGGATAATAAACCATTTTTGATTAGATATTCATAAAGGTGATTATAAATTACATGCTCAAGTACCTTAGATATAGCACTAAGTAGAGTAATGGGACGATAATTGTCACATTGATGGTGATCACCAGACTTAAAAATTGCCTGAATATACCCTTTCTTCCAATGCTTAGGGAAGTATCCATGTTTTAACGACATATTGAACAAGTACGCCAAAGAAAAACAAAGGGAGGATGCGCACTCCTTCAATACTCTATTCGACACACCAGGAGCTGTAGCTCTCGACGACGACAATCTCGATAGAATTTTTTCAATATCAAGCGGAGGTATTTTTATACTGCTTAATTTAAAATGTGTTTTATTTTGTTTTTGTGTTACATTGTCGTCATTATCATTTATAGTGCACACAGAAGAAAAATAGTTATTTAATAAATTAGCTTTCTCAGTCCTATCA